TCTGTGATTCTGTGATTCTGTGATTATCAATAACCTTCCATCACAAAAATATTCCTTTCTAGACTGTTTTTTTCTGTTTCTCTTCAGTTTCCATTCATCATCTCCAGCTGTTATCTATCTTTGCATATAATTTTCACCTTCTTTCCTCTGCCTTTCCTTGTTAGTAGCAAGGTCCAAATGACTTTGATCTCCTCTGTCCACTGTGACTCTCTGGCAGGTACACCAGCTAACAGTGAGCGCTATTCTAAGAAAATTAATATATACATAGAAAAGTTAGCACATGAAATTTAAGTACCATGGGAAGCAAATTGCCACTTTCTATGGGGAGACGATTGATAAATTAGGTCTATTTTCAAGATGGTATATGTCAGAAAACAGACTCAGCTTTAGGCTGTCTGCACTGAGATATTATGCCTTTATTTAACACTGCGCACTGATGACCTACCTCCTTCTGAACTGCTTGAATGGGAAGTGTCAAGCAGGGCCGCCACAGAGCCACCAAAAACAGAATGGAACCCACTAACAAGAAGAGACCTTGAACATGCAGCCAATAGGACAACCCAGCCCCCCCGCTAGAGGAAGATATGAATTGTCTTCTGGAGGCTTGTCAGCCACCTGTTCTGTTGTACAACATGACACAACACAGTATGCGTTCTTCCCTCTTTAAACAGGGTGGGAAATGAGGACTTATATAAAACAAGTCTTTTCTCTTCAAAAATAACAGATGGAATACATACAACAAAAAAGAAAATTTCACCATGTATTTGCTATGCAGTGTACTGCACAGCTACCACAACATGAAAATAATTATAAAAAGCAGCATCCATAGCAAATTCTGAAAAATTATTCCATAAGCAGTGAAAGTAACACCCAAGTTCCTATAAATCTGTGCTCTCCTTATGCCCTGAACCCCCAACACCAACCCCAGATCACCTGCCAGTTCTGCTGACATGGCCACCAAGGGAAAGACAGAATATCTGAGAGCCCATCAGCAACATCTGCTGGCCAACCTGCCACTACAGCCAACTACTGCTGAACATTGAGCAGACGGGTTCTCCTCCTACACTGCTTTCAATCTGAACTGGTCTTGCTCTTTTACCTTATGGTAGATTTCACAGAAAATAGTAAGAATGTATTGTATGTAAATTAAATTTTTAACTACCTGTGCTTCCATTCTGTAGTTGCCCTCAAAATTTGAGTAAGAAAGCCAGAACCTTGTGGATTGGAGTGACAGTTCTATCCGCTCAGCAGCCTTATGAGAGCCCATCCTACCTTTCACCCATTTCTCCCAGAGACAGGGCGGTCATTCATGGCAATCGAGATTTCAGCTGTACCTCAACCGTGACTTTTAGCAAGGCCTTGACATCAGCACAGTTCATACCCCAAGCACTGTTTCAGTCCCACACATGCACCATGTTCCCTTTCCCTCAGCAACACTTCTCACCCATGAGAATCAGGAAACAGCTCGATACGTTTTCTACATTTCAGTATCAACCAGTCACAAGCGGTGCTCCCCAGGGCTCGTACTGGGGCCAGTTTTGTTTAATATCTTTATCAACGATCTGCACAAGGGGATCGAGTGCTCCCTCAGTAAGTTTGCAGATGACACCAAGTTGGGTGGGAGTGTTGATCTGCTGGAGGGTAGGAGGGCTCTGCAGAGGGATCTGGACAGGCTGGATCAATAGGCCGAGGTCAACTGTATGAGGTTCAATAAGGCCAAGTGCAGGGTCCTGCACTTTGGCCACAACAACCCCAGGCAACGCTACAGGCTTGGGGAGGAGTGGCTGGAGAGCTGCCCGGCAGAAAGGGACCTGGGGGTGCTGGTTGACAGCCGGCTGAACATGAGCCGGCAGTGTGCCCAGGTGGCCAAGAAGGCCAACAGCGTCCTGGCCTGTGTCAGAACCAGTGTGGCCAGCAGCAGTAGGGAAGTGATTGTGCCCCTGTACTCGGCACTGGTGAGGCCACAGCTTGAATCCTGTGTTCAGTTTTGGGCCCCTCGCTGCAAGACAGACATTGAGGTGCTGGAGTGTGTCCAGAGAAGGGCAATGGAGCTGGTGAGGGGTCTGGAGCACAAGTTTTATGAGGAGCGGCTGAGGGAACTGGGGTTGTTTAGTCTGGAGAAAAGGAGGCTGAGGGGAGACCTTATCGCGCTCTACAACTGAAAGGACATTGTAACAAGGTGGGTGACGGTCTCCTCCCAAATAACATGCTGTGGGACAAGAGGAAATGGCCTCAAGTTGCGCCAGGGGAGGATTAGATTGGATATTAGGAAAAATTGCTTTATGGAAAGGGTTTTCATGCATTGGAACAGGCTACTCAGGGAAGTGGTTGAATCATCATTCCTGGAGGTATTTAAAAGACATGTCGATGAGGCACTTAGAGACATGGTTTAGTGCTGGATTTGGCAGTGCTAGGTTAACGGTTGGACTTGATGATCTTAAAGGTCTTTTCCAACCCAAACGATTCTATGATTCTATGAATAAAAGAATGTTTCAAGGCAATACATGTAGCAAGAAACTCTCAGATCTGAGGGGATTTTTTTTCCTTTTGTTACATTTTTTATTTGTTGAATTCTTTTCCAGAAAATCATCAGTACTATATACAGCAAATGCATGCATCTGCGTTTACGTAATTTTGTATCATATTCTTGCCTAAGTTGCTATTCAGTCATGATAAGTATATACAGTCTTTATCACATCTGGCACTGATATTTAAAAACCTCACACAGCACTGTAAACAAGGATGTAACGCACCAGCCAAGGCAGTACTAGTTTAATGTTGTGCGATATCAATGCTCTTCTTCAAGGGATCTTCAGCTCCAGCACGGTCCTTCTTGGTCCTTTGTATTGCCACTGAATGATGTGGTTAGTGATCCAAGCTCCGCTGTCTTTTCAGCCATGAACTTTTAAAAAAACCCAACCAAGGTAAACAGCAAGCTACAAATTGCTTTAATTTACACAGCCGTGGGAGTATAATTTCCCACTCAACAGCAAATCAAGACACCGTCATGGCTTATGCTCCCATTGTAGCAGAGCTGCAGAGGACTGGTAGGTACTTCAGCAGACTGCAAACAGTGGTGGTCCTTGTCCCTCCTCCATCCTACCCCTCTGCCCTCCAGCTCCTGCTCCTGTCTACCTTGCCATCCCACCATGACTGCTACAGTGTGGTGAAGTTAGCTCAATGAGCAGAGGATCCATTAATGATTTGATGAAAAGTCATGGCTGGGTAAAACTAATTGCGTTTATTATAAATATTCCTATATTCATAATGATTCAAATGCTGACTCAGTAAAAATTCTGACTGAATTAAGTCAGATTCTGGTCTTATTTTTACATATAGTCCTTAATAATTTCTGAAGCTAATAAAGTAAAATTCATATATGCATATTTGTGCTAGTAAATCCATTCTTAAGGAGGCGTTGCTAATGGTAGCTAAATACCAAGAAATGTATCATGTTTTATCACTCACCAAGTTCCAACAAAAATCGTTGGAATAATTGCAACTCTGTACAGTTTGTCACCTTTTAAAAAGTGGAGTGTGAATTTTAGCTAGAAAGAAACAACTTTTCACAAAGAGAGGTTCACCAGATTATCAGCTTTGATGGATTCCAGCATCTGAATCCTGTGCCAAAAGAGAAGAATCTCTGAAGCAAAGCTCCATTCTCTGCTTAGCAGATAATCTCAAGAGGTGCCAGAAGACCTTTCTTTAATTAATAATTTTCTTTATTTCTATTATTCTCTTCAGTGAACATGTCACTGTTGACTTTGACCAGCCTCAGCCTTGGCGTAAGCAAATCCCGATGAGCAGGTGGAGAGTAGAACTGGGCAAAGATTTATGAGACCTAACGCCTAAGCCCAGGTATGTCAGCAGCCTTGAGTCTGTTTCTTCATTTCCCTGTTCACTTTCCTTGCCATGCTTTGCTCAAAATGCCACCTCTTTAGGTTAGTATTGTCACAGTGTGACCTGTCTGTAACAAAAGCACAGTGAAGACCTACACTTAAATAGGATTTCCAGGTGGAAGTAATTAACAGAAACAACATAAATGTAAGTAGAATGAGCCTGGACATGACTTGATTCATTTACTCAGTTACTACTTTTGGGATATTTCAGCGATGTAGGACAGAAGAGAAGCAATTTTTCCTTAGAAAACAAGGAGAGTTTCTCTATCAACTCCACTTTCGTGATAATTCTAAGAGAGCGCACTTTAGAAGAGTGTGAATGTTGAGAGAGGTGAATAAGGTTTCAGTTTTCCACAGGACAGTGTTATTCTTGTATCTTAATTCTTTTCCTGAAAGGAGTTGTAGATTGTGCAGAGACTCCAAATGACTTGCTGTCACAGGCAGTGACACTGGTTTAGGTTGCTCGGTGAGAAGAGTCCTTCAGTAATAATGTTGTTCAAATTCTATTAAATAGTAAAAGAAGATCCATTGTCAGTTAGAATTTCACTAGTCTGTCTTGAATGATAAATATCAGAGTTTGTCCTTGAACTACGTTTATTATATTTCTTGTATCTCATGCACCATAGGTCCTTCATTATCTTCACAAAATAACTTCGGAACTTCACTCCAATAAATGCATAGAGCACAGGGTTCACGCAACAGTGTAAAAACGCTATGGCTTCAGTGGTATATTTTGCATAGGTCACTATCTTGTCATTGTCACAAGATTTGTCTATCTTGCCCATATTTACGGCTATCACAAGAAGAACAATGTTATAAGGTACCTGGCAAACTAGGAAAACAGCTACAATTAATACGATCACACGGATTGCTTTGTTTCTTTTGGAATTCTGAGCTTGCTGCAAGGATTTGACAATGAACGTATAACAAAAAATCATGAATATGAAAGGTATAAAAAATCCAAATCCAACTTGTAGACACAGCAGCAGTGATTTCAGCATCGTGCTTTCAGACATACTGTCAAATCTGTGATCACAAATCTCTTTGGTTTCATTGGTGGAGAAGCTGTAACTTTCACTGTATAGGAAAGAGGAACTGGAGATTAAAATTGATGATACCCACACAACCAAACAAATGAGTTTACTGTAAGCAAGCGTTCTTGCCCTGAGTTTAAATGACTTTGTTGCCTGTACGATAGCAATGTACCGGTCGACGCTGATAAAGGCCAAAAGCAGCATGCCACAGCTGAAGTTGATTGCATAGATACCTCTGGTCATTTTGCAAATGAAATCACCAAAAATCCATTTGTCAGCAGCATAATTTACTGCCCACAGTGGGAGAGTGAGAACAAACAGTATGTCTGCTATGGCCATGTTGAAGAGGTACACGTCTGTCATGGACTTGGTTCTTTCATATAAAGCAAAGGTCATCACTACAAAGATGTTACCAACTAGGCCGATGATACAAATCAACGAATAGGCAACTGGCAGAAATACTTTTGTGAAGTTCCTGACTTCCAACTTAGAACAAGGTTGTATAATTAGAGAAGCATGGTCAGAATAGTATGGATCATCTGTGGTACAAGGCTCTGTCTGTAAAAAAGAAGATCACCAGTTAACACATAGCTGTCAACCTCTAATTTCTGTATAGCAGAAAGATGATAAATAACAAAGCCATAAAAATACAAGGTATTCTGGAAATCTTTCAAAAATTAGTATACAAGTATTGTATGGTTTGCTGATTTGAAATGGAAGTGACATTTCCTTTATGATTACTGTAATACTTCTGTCCCGTCCTTCCCATGTCTCAGCTTCAAACCTGTATCAAACTCATCTGAGGATAGCCCACATCACTATTTTTTCCTCCAATGCCACGTGTTTTACACTGTTTTCACCAACCACACACCCCAATTACAAATGCATTTAACACTACAGAGGAGACTTGTAAAAACTAACTAGGGAATTTCATAAAATCTTAATTAAAATATGAATATGGAGATAATCTTTTTGGCTAGCCCAAGAAATTCCATCTTTAAGTACATTATGCAGAAAGGATTACTCTGCTGTCACAGAAGACTCTACAGTGTAAACATCTGAATTTGAAGTAGGGGTCTAGACTTCCTTTGCCATCAAGGGAAGAGTACAGGGCCTCTCTAACATTTATACATTTCATACTAATGTAGCTTGAATGAATCAAGCCCAAAAGCAACTAATTCTCTCCACTCAGCTAGACAGGCAATCCAGGGTGGCTAACCTGAGACACAGTTAACTGCACCACAAACACCAAACCTGTAGTTACATTAGAAGAGTGCAAATCCAATAAACAGTGTGCTTTGATAGTGAACTCTGCTGTCAGAAACACCTCTTCAGCTAACGACTCCTGGGATTAGGGCATTTGGGCCAGCAGCCTTAAAGAGCTGGGACTTTCAGATTCATTGCTTTATTGATGTACTAATACAGTTTATCAATTCAGTACTTACAAAATTCATTTTGGCAGTACACTTCTCAGAAAGAAAAGTATGTTGAGAAGAACTTCAAAATACTTTCCCAAGGATTTCTGAAAAGAAAATAAAGTAGACTGGATTGGGAAATCAGCACAAGAAATGTGAACAAGTACAAAAACACAACTGGAAATAAATTCATTCAAAGAGAATCTCATCACTTCAATTATATCAACAATACACAAGAGCATCTCAACAAATCACACATTTCTGCAGCACAATGTGTAGTTATGAGAAGTGGATGGTTTGTATCAGTACCATTAAGAGCACAATCTTACATACAGAAAGTTTATTCATAGAGCTAATGAACAATATACAAGAATTTGTGACCTGCTTCACATTGACTTTGCACCACAAGAAATTAGAGTAAACGAAATTTTACTTTCAGAAATTCTGTACAACAATGGCAAGCAGTATATTGAGGGACATATGGAGCAAATAAACAACCCTACCTTAGTATACTCCATAATAGTAATGCAGCACACTAACTTTTTTTTTTCACTCTGGCATTTTATCATTTTATCTCAGCACTTTTAATATCACATTACTCACCCTTTTTTATTACACTAGTAAATTAAGAGTACCAGGGTAATTGCTTCTAATAGTGTAAAGGAGAATATACAACATGTGAACAGACTGAGCACTAGTGTTGTTTTGTCTTTCTTTGTTCAGTGTGCAGATCTTTGTGTCACATACTGCACTGTGATACCTAAGTATTTTACAAATAGTAATTAATTTGCACAACACCCTGTGGTGAGGAGGTATTATTACCTTTATTTTACAGGGAAAGAACCTGAACACCGAGTCATTACAGGAAGTATCCACTTGGGGTGTTCAGTTTGAGACACCTGTCCCCCCCAACATCATTTTTAAGAGTGCTTGGCATTGTGAAGGACTTCAGTTCTGTAAAGGATTAAATTTATTGACTCTGGTTGCAGCCAGGCTCAGACTTCTCCAAATCAGACTACAGTCTAAAGTCACAGAGAGAGAAAATGGGGAACATGCCACTGGCGGCCACACGCGGAAAGCTGGGCTTCAATGACTTGTTTAACCTCACACAGGAACCCCGCGGGCAGTAGCTTTAGTTCCTCAGCATTCCCCTGCATAAGCTCAGCCCTCCTCTTCTTTCCCTTAGCTGCTCTGCATTATTAGTCCCTGTAATTACTGCTAAATAATTGCTGGTGCACTGGACGACATGAGGTCTCGCATTTGCTAAGGCTGTGAATGGCAGTTCCGTCTAGAGTTTCTCCGCTTTTTGGCAGTTGTGTCGCTAATTAGAAAGTTCCCATGGGTCAACTTTAAGTCTAGATAAAAAAATCCCTCCTGTTTGGGAATTACCTGAATTCTGAAAAAGAGAGACAGATAATCTGTAAAAGTGGGGTAGATGCACTCCAGATATAACTGGGAAGTTGGGGGAGGGAAAAGACTGAACACTCTCCAAAAGCATAATGAGGATGAAACTCTCTGACTCATGTGGGGAGGCTGGCTCATGACAGAGGACTGCAGATGGGTTAAGACCCATATTGTGTCATGTTGCTTAAGCATCACAGCTTCTCTGGCTTTCCTGACCTTTAAATAAATCTTTAATCACCTCTTCAGTTTCCTCTGCTGGCTTTTCAAAGCTGATTTTTAGAAGCTGCAGGAAAATGACAGCCTGAAACTGCTTGAACACCTTCTGAAGGAAGCTTTAAACAATTTAGAGTGTCTCTCAGAAGCGCAAAGATGTATAAGGCAGGCAGGGAAGTTGTACAGTTCACCTGGGGCTGTGGTCCCCTAGACCAGCTTTGAGCAACTCTAATGTCCATCTGCTGCTTTACCCTTCTCTGACCCCAGCCCACCAGAACTCATGCCCTTGCTTGGTGTGTCTGATACCCTTTGCGCTTGGCTGCAACTACAGTAACTCTTCAGTTAGACAGCACTAATGGGGTACCTGTCTAGGTTATTATTTCAGAAACTGTTATTTTATTGTCGCAAAAAAAATACCTTTCTAGGTATCTGCCATTTATATCTTTCTAGGACATAACATGGTTAATATATATGAAGAGAGCCTCACAGCATATATCCTCTATAAAAGAGTCACTCTTCATTCCACTTAGCCAAAGCCACTCTCAAACATGAGTATAACGTGTAGAAGTAAGAAGACAAGGTGAAGGCATTTAGAAGAACGGGAGCACGAGTGTTTCCTACAGCCTGCAAGGAGGGCTAAGAAAGGAGATCTCTTCAGATTAGCACTGAAGAAGGGTGCTCTAGTCCTCAGAAGAACTCAGCAGAAGGCCTGTAAGGAGCAACAACTACTCATCATGGGAGAGTTGCGTACTCCCTCTGATGCTACAGGGATTCAGAACGGCACCACCAGCCACACATTTATTCAGAAAAGGACTTCCACTGTCCAGCAAAACCTTCTTGAGGATGGTTGGCACAACAGTAGTAGAGAAGGACTCAGACTGAAACCAGAATTGCAGAGATCAGATTTAGGACCTGATTTAAATCTCTCAAGTTGATTTCCTTTTCTGAATCTGAAACAGCGTTCGCTGAAGTTATTAAGAAGGTGCACTGGCTGCAAAGGACGTTGAATCAGAACTCCTATAAACAGTGTTCTTTTCAATGTAAATCTTCCTAACAGTCTTTCAACAGGCACCTTCATAATTTATAATCTGCATATTTATGGATTTATTTAGCATTGATGTATTAAGTGATTATAAAAATTTATTTCCATGTATATAACAGGTTGGATGGGTGTTCTAGCATTGTTTATATACTATATATGGGCCCATGTCTATGGCTGTACACACAAACATAATTATGTTCTGAATATTAAATATATAAGCCTTGCATTTTTTAGCTATTTTTCTACTTTATCCACATTATCACATTTCTTTTCCCTATGAAAGCACTATGTGAGTACTCAAAAGTAAGACTAAACTACAATCTTAAATACTAATACATTACCTGAAATATGCAAGCAAAAGACAATGGATAAGAAAGACCTAAGGAAAAAGACAGATTTCTATAAGGAAAATAATGCCGAGTACTTGGAGGAAATCCGTAAGTATTTTTTAAGCATTGCACACCATTTTAAGTACACTCCTACTTACATGTTCGGTTCAATACATTCATCACACATACATACACACATTATAGATTACCTATTTTATTTTAGTACTTACCAGATTTGAAAACTGTCTGAAGATCAGGTGAAAGAGGATGTGTGATTCTGTTACATTCTTTTGTGGCTGACTCAAGTGCATTTACCATCAGCCTCAACAGGAGTACACTTTAATTCGAAAAACAAGAAATAACAGCATTAGTTAAAGGTACAGAGTTCAATTGAAATAATCACCACTTCCTCCTGACAAGCAATAACGATAACCTGCTTTTTTATGTGAAGGAAAATATTTAACCTTATCTGTGCTGGAAACATGCAAGCTGAAGGCAAGTAATTTACTAAATGAGCTACTTACTTACAAAATTATATTATTTTTTTAAATAATCAATCTAGCATTAGAATTATAAAAAGCAGGATGTTAATTGTCACTGTGTGCAGAACACATCCTGAATATATTTTGCAGAGGGTGCACCTAATGTCATGCAGATGAGCATTTCATTTTATGATTCCTGAGTTTTAAAAGCTATAAACGTTTCTTTTCCAGACCTTAGTTTCTGATGACAACTTAGATGTTTGCATTAACAGTGAAAAAAAAAAAAACGACTAACAAAAAACCCCTTCAAACTTCTTACTTATTTTAGAAATTGTGTGTGAACATTCAGTTGCAGCTTGTGATCTCATTAGAGGCGCCAGATGGCATTAATACAGGCAGCCTTGTAAGATATGATTAAATAAACAGAATGCTGGACCTAAAGAAATGGAGGATGATCGATGCCACGCTCATCTTTTTTTCAAAACTGAGCGTATCACAATAGCAGTGGCTCCCTAACAGCTTGAGTGCGGCGCTGCTTTCCACTAACCATACCCAGTGAAGGAAAAAAAACGCTGCAGAGTGTCAAAATATGACTTGGTAGGTTTAAAGTATCATGTTGTAACGGTTCATAATCATCTGAGCAGGCATATTTCATTTTCTCAGTAGCTGATTT